GACATACATTGCTTTAATAACAATTAAAAGAACATCCCCATCAGTTCTCTTAACTCAAATAAGCATGAGAAAATTTGTGACTATCATGTCCAGTTTTGCTACTGTTAAATAAGCCGAGAGTGAAGCGGAATTAGCTAGTAATAGTTACGTTATGTTGTTACAGTGTAGTTGACTGACTGTCCTTTTAACTTTTGACAATGTGACTGTTGTGAATTTGATCCTTTAATTATACCTTTTATTTATTTTTTTTCTTTCTCCTTACATATTTGCACTTCATATCCCACAATCCTTTTGTCAGTTTCACTACATTACCCATACACCCCCTGGGCAAGGTCTATAAGTAGACCTCACTTCCTCCCCATTTTTCTTTTGTATTGGTGAGATGTGGCGGTTGGAATGGACACCCAACCATGTCTTTTCCTTAGGATGCGTTGAGTAAGTTTGTTTTGCCAATTGTTTAAAATATATGTTGTTGATAATATGTTACTGATGAATTATATGAGTTTAATTTCCTTTATTGTATTGTTTGTAGTGACTAAAGACCATCTTGTACATCCTGTTTATCCTGTCCATCCATTAACATCTGTTCATTGGCATCATGTGTGTCAGCTCCATGTGAATTAAGACTTTATCATCCTGAACTAAAAATAAAAGAGAGCAAAGGACTGGTATTTTTTCCATGTGTTTTAATCAGACACACCATCAAGTTTCTACAACTCCAACGAACTTTGGATACATTTAACATCTGAGATTCAACAGTGACTGAAGTATTTCTTTAGTAGCGCGTGACCGTTATAGCGATGAGACGTCTCATCTCTCCTTGGTCTGTTATGTTGAAAATATTGCTAAATTGCTAAATTATGGCTCATCGTAGACTAGCTAACCACAAAGCTAGCTAATGCCACTATCATCAGTCTGTTCTGTTGTGACAATAAAAGAAACAAGTTTCTTTTTAAAATGCATTATCATATTATTTTAGTTAAAACTCATAAATAACTACAAATAACTAATGTTAGGGAAATCTGTTAATGTTTTGTTGCACGTTTCTGAAATAAATAAAGAATATATATACATTGGCCGATATATCGGAATATCGGATTTTAAAAATATTTGTATCGGTATCGGCCTTCAAAATCCTTTATCGGTCGGGCTCTAATACAGACACATCGTATTCAATGGTATTAGATTAGGCCTACTTGTTAATTGCATTTAATGGATTACACTTTTAATAATAAATTTGCAATGGGCTTTATGCTCAGCTGCACTACTTCCTGAACTTCAGCCAGCTCTTTGTTTCCTGTCTGCCATTATTGGACAAATTGATTAATTCAGGTGTGTCTGATTATTGTTGCCGTTACTACTGAGGTCAGGCACACCTGATTTAATCAATTTGTCCAATAATGGCAGACAGGAAACAAGGAGCTGGCTGAAGTTCAGGAAGTAGTGCAGCTGTGCATAAAGTCAATTAGTTTGTAAAAGGTGTTTTTTATGCATGTCCAGCAGGCGTCACCAGGGTGCGGCGTTTTCAGCGCTTACAAACAGCGATTCATTTTGCGAAGAAGTTGATTCAATTGAATCAAAGCTTTCAAAGCTTCGTGTCTCACATCACTAGGTTCAATTGAACAGTAAATGTGGTAACAGTATAATCAAAGTAATAAATAAATAGCAATATTATGCAGGATATAAAGTATTTAAAAATAAAATACAAAATGTGGGTTAAATGTAGATCATTAATGACAGAGAAAAAAAGACAAGCATGTTTACCTCTTTATATATTGCACTTTCTTGCAGCGTTTCCAGCTCTTTACCTTGACCAGCTTTATAGAACCCAAACCACTATTGACGAAAATTCAGTTAGTAAGAGATTTTAGTTCAATGATAAAAGAGAAATTTAAAATAAACTGTTGATGTACCTCAGAATCCACAGGATCGACCATAGTGTCCTGCAGGAACTTAACCATGACAAACTTATTCAGAGACATGAGATTCTTCTTGTAGGTCTCGTTCAGCACCTGACAGAAATACCATTCATTTACGTTTACACCACACAGACAAATATATATATATATATATTAGTAATTTCTCCCTTATCCTCAGACGTACCCGCTCCTGATTGATGTCAGCAAGGAATAGGCTGTACTTTTTATACAAGTCATCATTGAGGGGATCGTGCCAGTATTGTGCCTGCACCAAGCTAACATAAAATCACAATCAATATCACATAAAAAATGAAAAATGGCAGCAACTAAGTGTAAATAGTAACGAAATGTATTTTCTTTGCACTAAGTGCAAACAGTAGTTTTGAAAAAATTATGTTTTTTTACTTGTAGCAGATAATATTTGTACCAAGTGTAGTATATTATAAAACAGTATGCAATAACAACATATTCAGTGTACATGACCATATAGATTGCAATCATAAAAGCTGGATATCTTCTGTAATTTTGACATTGGTGGGCAGAGTTTGTGTAAATAGCCTCTGTCAACAAAGGCAGAGAATAGACACTCGGAAACAATAATCAGTTTGGAGTAACATGAAATGGCCTGTTGAGAAGCACATAACCAAGCACACACTGTTTTTGAATGGCATCTGTGTAGGCTCCTGAGTTCAGCTTCTTGCGAATCCAGTCACAGATATAAGAGCTTTCACCAGGACATCGAGGAAGACCAAATACCCCTGTGATTTACAGAAAAGAGGAAGAGAGAACCACATGTCAGACGAAAACAGGATTTAAAAAAAGCTGTTTGACTCATTTGAAATTTATTTTCAGCAAAAAATACTGAAATATGTATCACGGTTTCCACAATAAGTAAGTAAGTAAAATTTATTTGTATAGCACTTTTCTCAGAAAGAAATAATAATGAAGCAGACCAACTGTTTTCAACATTGAAATTTATTAAGCAGTAAATCAGAATATTAAGAATGTAACACTGAAGACTGGAGTAATGGAGAAAAGTCAGCTTTGATCACAGTAATAAATTACAGTTTACAATATATTCCAATTAGAACAACATTCATTTTAAACCGCAATAATCTTACCTTTTTACTCTTAATTAATGCAGTCTTGGTGAGAATAAGAGACTTTATTTAACAGTAGTTGGAGACTTTGACATTTTTAACAGTAGTGTGTGTCATTTTAAATGTTGTAAAAGATTGTGACTGCAAATATTATAAAATTATATTCCATGTAACTTTATTCCTACTCCATTATGTAAAACAGTTTCATATCTTGAAGCAACATAATCAAAACCAGGTTTGTTTTGCCACATTGTTCCTGTAAACTGCTAACCACTTTTAGGAAGTAATTGTTTTTTTTTTAAGTAAACCACCACAGCGTGAGCAAAGCACATCTGTCACATTACCTTGATGCTGCCCACCGACCGAGATCAGGTTCTTCATCGGGGGGTCAGGACAGCGCTGAGCAACTGCCCGCCTTACGAAAGACAGAGAGGTAAACGACACGATTACACTTCCGACAATCCTTTGCATGAATATATTTGTGTAATAACCACTCACAGAAACTGTGACCCTTGGGAAAAGCCCATAGCATTGTAGCCTCCCTTCAGTTTAGGGTCCTTGGACAGCTGATCACAAACGAAAGACACCTGCTCATTGACATCCATGAAGAAGCCATTTTCAGTGTCCTGTGAAACAACAAATCAAAATCAGACACTTGACTTTAATTCAGAAAACAACAACGGCAATGACAAGAATGGAGGGTGTCGACCTGCTTTACCTGTAGAACTGACTTGCCAATCATCAGGGAAAGCACATAAATTCCTGGGACTTCCTCTTCCACCATCTTCTTCATCGCACCCATGCTCAGTGGATTGCAACAACTGTCTCCTGCAAAACCAAGTATCGTAGCAAACGCAGTAGGTAATTTGTGTGTTTAGGTCATTTTGCACAAAAAATGCCTCTTCCATAGATCATGACACTTAAAGGTATTTATTAGAATAAGAAATATTTTATTCTCAGCAAGGCTTTATTAGAACACAATAAAAATAGCAATAATTTTAATTTAAAATAGCCATTTTCTATTTGTCATTAAATATACATTTCTGAAGTGTCACATGATCCTTCAGAAATCATTCTAATATGCTGATTTGCTGCTCGAAAAACATTCATTGTTATTATCAATGTTGAACAAAGTTGTGCCGCTTAATATTTTAGGGGAAACTGTTATAACTGTTATTAACACATTATATATTTAAACCTTTCAGATTATACGATTAATCAATTTGACAGAACTAAAAATATATATATTATATTTTCAAATGTATCTATAAATTGCATATTTCAAAAATTTGGAGTCAGTTTTTAGTTGCTAAGTCACTATGTATACAAAGGCCTTTTTGTGGAGTGACACTGTACACTAGTGATTCCCGTATTCAGTGACTCAGTGGCCTATTATTGACCAGCAGGTTTGACTGATCTGGATGTGATGTGATGTGATGTGTCTCACCCATGCCGTGCCATATGACCAGAGGAACAGAGGCATTAGATCCGCACGATGAGCCGCACAGCAGCAACACACACACAGACACAGCGATGAGGCGAAGCTCCACAGAGAACCTCATTCTTCAATCTCAGTCTGAAGACTCAACACATTTATCTTTAACAGAACACAGTTACAGGAAGGGAAAGCACTAAACAAGGAACTGAATAACTCGATATCGTTTGGTTTCTGACGTAATATGTGCGAATATACAACCGGAAGCCTCAACTTTGCCTAGATAGGAATGGGTATCTTATATGAATTGCGTTAATAAATGCTTAACAATTATCAGTTTAAGCCATTGTGTACTTACTGTGATTACTTTCTGTTCCTTAATCACATGACAGACGAAAACACCGCTCACTTCCAACAAATTCTGTTTAAAAAAAGATATTAGACTTATCAACTATAGCATAAACCTTCTGTCTATATAAACAAACACAGTCAGTCGATCCCGAGCGTTTAGATTGTGATGTTTCCCAGAGCAGGAAGTCTCCATCCACATCACGTGATCAAGACGTACGTTAAACAAAACTCAGAGCCAAGTATGGCTCTGACAAAACTAAACAGATCTGACCGTCTCGAAATGCAACATACCGGTCAGCATTAATGTTTCCAGGTATTTTAAACATTTAGTACTTATTAAAAACATTTAAACGGTTTGCAAGTTTATGGAGGGGCCGTAAACGAATCGTCTTCTTTATAAGACATCCAGCGGTTGTTACATTTGTTTGGAATTAAAACATGCTAATAATGGTAAGTATAAATAAAAAGTGCTATATGTCATATGATACTTTGTATATGTATAAATAACGTATAAAAACCAATATACAACCCTTTGCATACGTGTGTGTGTACAAACACACACACATAGATAGGCTGCTACTGTAAGTTATATATTATCATATGTTTTTACATTTCGCTGTTTTTTTTTTCACCTTTTAATATTTATGCTGAGTCAAGTAAAGAGGATGCAAATAATGCCACCTGTATTAATGATGCTATCGACATAAAGATGTTGTTGCTGATGTTTATTCAAGATGTCAGCTGATCTACTAATAACCTTTGTGCTGTTCATATGTTATGCTCATATGCTGTCATGTGCTCAAGTTCTACACTAGAGATAATGGGAGTTTAAACCAATATGATATGATATTTTACAGTTTCTAGTGCTTGGACAATTTGCTACACAAGTTTTGGGCTTCAGTTCACAATAGATGCAGTCCACATCTGAGTGAGTGAACTAAAACCATTAGTGAATACTATTAGCCTACTTTTTAAATTTAGAGCTTCCTTATTAATTTGGGCAATAGCATTTAATGACATGAAAATCACAAAGATTGAAAGGAGAATGTGGAGATGTTTACATATGTGCAATATAACAAATGACCTGAACTGCAAAAAATAATAGAACAGATCTGGAGAGTAAAAAAAACAGGATGGAAAAAAAAGCAAAGCTAAAGATGTACCGTTAATAGTATTTGAAAGGAATCAAGGAATGAACCCAAAAGGTCATGAATGAAGAACATTGTCATAGAATTCGTGAATCAAAGAAAATGAGACAGACGCATTTGCATAATGAATGATGACAGGAAGATTAAAAAATGTATATTGATCATGATGGATGGTCCAACAGAAAAGGAAGAGCCCACAGTGAATGGACTGATGATATCAAACACTAATATGGAGAATTAGACAGAAATGGAACTGGAAACAGAATAGCAAATACAGCATCAGAAACACGATTGTCGTTGATGATGATGCAATTGTTTAAAGGGATAGTTCACTTTGAAATTAATTTTTGGTATGTTTTAGTTTTCCTCAAGGGCATCCAAGATGTAGGTGTCTTTGTTTCCACAGTATTTTCAATTTTGGTCAAACTGTAACATATTTTTAGGGTTTTTTTTTTTCTGACAGACAAGAACGAATATTGAATATTGAAGGTTTTTTAAAATGAAGATGCCAAAAGAAATCTGTGTTAAGAACCCGAATCTAAAAGGATATTAAGATATCTTTAATACTTCTTGAGTTACAGGTGCATATTTAGGGCAACAAACAATAAATGTTTTTTCTCATTTCTGAGCTTTCACCATTGGCATATAATGCAACAAATATTGCTAAAGTCAACAGATTTAACGAATAGACCTACCAATCAAACCTGAAATAAAATAATGATGCTGCCTCTTTCTAAAGTTATTTTGACCCCCCCTGTAATTTGGCCTAAAATCTCAGGTGAAAATAATCATTTTGACCCACTACAAAACTGTGAATGACTCATCTGTAACATATTTCTTTTACCAGAGGAAAAATATATAAGCCAGGGGCCTCTGGTTGAGTTGACACATCACGTCACTAACCCAAATGTGTTGTTTTTGTTTCAGGATTTGTGGATGTCATACTTCGACTAGCTCAAGTTTAGCTCAAATCTTCCGCCTCAGCCATCGCGATCATGGCGCTAAACCACGGCTACTCCATTAACTCGAGCGCAGACGACCAGGACAGTGACACTGCACCACTTTTAGAAAGAGAAGTGAAGAGAAATACCACAGGTTAGACTGCGATTTGATCTTTTGCAGTTCATTAAAAATCTGCATGAAAAGTTGTGTGTTTATAATGTGCTTCATAAGTCTTGTCACACAAATACTACTGTTCAAAAGTGTGGGGTCAGTAAGATTTTGAATGCTTTTCAAAGAAGTCTCTTATGCTCACTGAGGCTGCAATTATTTGATCCAAAATACAGTATTGTGAAATATTATTGCCAAAAATGGCTGTTTTCTATTTTATCTATTTTAAAATGTAATGTATTCCTATTTTCGTTCGCCGTTGCTTCATCCACGTTGAAAACAGTTTTTGTGCTCCCTGAGTTTATTTTCAGGGTTCTTCTATTATTCTTGATCATTTGAATCCGTCCTTGCTGAATAAGTATTATTTTAAGTCCTGTCAACTCGATTAATCACGATTGACCGCATCTAACATAAAAGTTTGTGTTTATTTAATACATGTGTGTGTGTGTGTAGCCTATATATATATATATATATTAGGGTTGTCAAACGATTAATCGCATCCAAAATAAAAGTCTGTGTGTACATAATATATGTGGGTGCACACACAGTGTATATTTATTTTATATATATATATACACACACATGCTTGTATATATTTAAGAAATATTTTCATGTATATACTGTATATAGATTTATATAATTTATATTATATATAAATAATATTTTTATATATAAATATGTTTTTCTTATGCATGTATGTGTATTTATATATATATATATATATATACACACACACACACAAAATAATTATACACAGTGCACCCACATAAATATAACCTTTATTTTGGATGCAATTAATTGTGATTAATCATTTGACAGCCCTAATATATATATATGTATATGTATCTAGATTTAGGTTAGATTTAGACTTCTTTCAAAAAGGAAAAAAAAAAAATCTAACTGACCCCAAACTTATGCAAAGTACTGTACTAAGTGACTATAATCTTTATAATTTTTTTTTAAATATATAATTATTTGACATTTCAGAATGTATTTATATGTGTGACAGTGCCCCCCAAATGCTGCTCAGTGCGATGCAATCTGGCTGCTATGATGTTCTTTGGCTTTGCTGTGGTTTATGGTCTGCGTGTAAATCTCAGTGTTGCCATGGTTGCTATGGTAAATGGTACCAATGACCAGCCGTCATCCAAAAGCAATGTATCAAACGAGTGTCCAGGACCCTCCCATACACTTGACAACAACAGCCAAAGCTCAGAACAGCCAGGGGTAAGAATAAACCGCACAAAGCTTTTCATGCTCTGGACCTCGCAAGTCTCCACATATGTCATGGATCTGTTCTTATACACTACTGTTCATAAGTTTGGGGTCGGTGATTTTGATTCTAGGAGTTTTGTGGTTGAAATCCTTCCCTCGCGGGTCAATTTGACCCCCTTGGGAATGAATGGAATGCCAGGAATGCTTCAGTACTCATAGAAAAACCTAAAAGTTTGCTCAAAATTCAAACTAAAAATGCTAAAACTTCACCAATGATTTTATAATGTCTACATACCGGTATGTATCTGAATGCATACTGAAGTTAACTGACTTTATGACCCAGCGGAACAGCTCATTTGCTCCAGATACAGCTATAAGGCCCTCTAGTGGCAAGACTAAATATGACCTGAAATATCATGTTATATTATTATTATTGTCAACAAGAGGTTGGCAAAGAGACCCACCCAATGTAAGATTGTTTGAGCTGAATTAAAAGGGTTATTCATGAAATTGAGATTTTGAATTTACATTTAAAGAATGGGAAGAATGGGTTTAAATTATTTATTTATTTATATTTATTGATTAAAATCTAGTAATTTAAAGGCAAATACAATGAAAAATAACAAAACATCTCCCAAAAAAAATGCACAAAAACTACTATCAAAATGAAATAATGTTTCTGGACAAAAAAAAGGATAATTTTTGGGCTTCGGGTCAATTTTGACCCGTGTGAAAAGGATGAGATGTTTAAAAAAAAAATAATTGTAATCCTGTTAAGCCAAAGCTGAATTTTCACATGATTCTTCAGAAATCATTCTAATATCCTGATTTTCTGCTTAAGAAACATTTCTGATTATTATCAATGTTGATGAATGGGATGTTCAAAAGAACAGCATTTATTTGAAATAGAGATCTTTAAAAACATTAAAAATTTCTTCATTGTCACTTTTGATCAGTTTAATGCTTCCTTGGCTTTGCAGAATAAAAGTATTAATGCGATAGTTCAGCCAAAAATGAAATTGCAAGTGCTGTCACTTAGTTGTTCCAAACCTGTATGAGTTTCTTTCTTCTGTTGAACACAAAAGAAAATTTGAAGATATTTTGAAGAATATTGGTAATCCTACAGTCAACTGTTTGCTTACCACCATTTTTTTTAAATATCTTCTTTTGTGTTCAACAGAAGAAAGAAACTCATACAGGTTTGGAACAACTTGAGGGTGAGTAATTTAGTTTGAACATTTTTAATGTATTTTAATAACCACAAAAAAATTGTACTCTCCCCAAACTTTTGCCCTGTAGTGTACAGGTGAAACTCAAATAATTAGAATATGGCGCAGAAAGTTCATTTATTTCAGTAATTCAACTTAAAGAGTGAAACTAATATATTGTATGCAAAGTGAGATATTTCAAGCCTTTATTTGTTATAATTTTGATGATTGTGGCTTGCAGCTTATGAAAAGCTTTTCACAATATTCTTATTTATCTGTAAGCCATAATAATCAAAATTATAACAAATATTGGCTTGCAATATTTCACTTTGCATACAAAATATTAGTTTCATCTTTTAAGCTGAATTACTGAAAGAAATTAACTTTTGCATGATATTCAAATTTTTGGATTTCTCATTGATTCTTGTCATATTTCTCTCTCTTTAATTTTCTTTCCCAAGATTCCAAGATACCCATGGAGTCCCGAAACACAGGGAATGCTGCTTGGTGCGTTCTTCTTTGGATACCTGTTTACTCAGGTCCCGGGTGGATACCTGTCAGGTCGTTTTGGGGGAAGCCTCTTCCTGGGTGGTGGTGTTCTTGGAACGGCCGTCCTCACTCTCCTCACTCCACTGTCAGCTCAGCTCGGGGACAAGTGGCTGTTCGCCCTGCGTGCCCTCGAGGGATTCGGGGAGGTTCGCGGGCGCTTTAGTGAATAAAATAAAATAAAACAACAACTGACACAATAGTAATATCTTGTTGAAATTAATACTAACTAAGATTAATACATGCTGTAGAATTATTGTTCATTCTAATGTTATCTGAAGAACCCTATTGTAAAGTCTTACCCATGATTCAAGTGGAGAGTGTGTGTATAATATGCATCTGTGTTTGAGTGTGTGTGGTGTTGTTGTGTCTAGGGTGTGACGTTTCCGGCCATGATGGCGATGTGGGCCCGCTGGGCTCCTCCGTTAGAGAGGGCTCGTCTCATGACGTTCTCCGGGGCAGGGTCGAGCTTCGGTGCCTTCGTGGCTCTTCCTCTCACTGGCCTCATCTGCCATAGTCTGGGATGGCCTGCAGTCTTCTACTCCTGCGGTGAGGGATACAGACGTTTTGGGTCAATAATAGAAATGAATAAGACATTTATTATGTTACAAAAGATTTATATTTTAAATTAATGCTGTGCTTTTGAATTTTATATTCATTTAAGAATTATTTTTTTGTGGTTTCTGAAACAAATATCAAGCAGTTCAACTGTTTTCAACATTAATAATCAGAAATATTTCTTGAGCAGCAAATCATCATATTATGATGATTTCTGAAGGATCATGTGACACTGAAGACTGGAGTAATGATGCTGAAAATTCAGCTTTGATCACATGTTAATATTAATTAAATTAGAAAACAGTTATTTTAAACTGTAATAATATTTTACATTAGTGTTTTTACTGTATTTTTCATCAAATAAATGCAGCCTTGATACTTTTTAGAAAACTTTTTTTTTTAAATCTTACGAAACCACAAACTTTTGAACAGCATCTTTCGTCTTCATATTTTTAATATCATGCTTAATGTAATATAAATAAAATTATATCTTGTATTTTTTTGTATACAAACATATATATTAATTAACGTTTTTTTTTTTTACCACTAGGTGCTGCAGGGTGTCTTTGGGCAGTGATTTGGTTTCTCCTGGTATCGGATGAACCCCGAACTCACCCAAGAATTAGTGACAGAGAGAAAGATTACATAGTTACCTCAATTGGTTCACAGGTATGATCTACTTTTGATGATGCATACAGTTTGGTCTCCTTCTTCATTCATGAGGGGTAAATCAGTCATGCTAAAGTCCTCAGGTCTTTACACTGGCTCCCAGTTACATTTAGGTTACATTTAAGCATTATTACGGGTATATAAATCATTTAATGGTCAAGGTCAACTCTATTGTAAATTGGGAAATCGTGATTCCGTTTCTCACTCGGTGAAATAGAAATAAAATAAAATACAATACACAACAAATACAACATTGAGAACACTTCCTGTATTTTAGAAAATAGTGCAATGTTTCTATATACAAGAATTAGCAGCAACCCAGTTTTGGGCTAGGACCTCATTATATTGCAGATATACTCACTAAATATAGACCCAATAGATCACTCAGCAGGGGCGGTAAAAGTTCTCAAAAGTATAAATACCTAAATGAATAATATGAAATCACTTGGCCAACAATAACATTAAAGCAACACTAAAGAACATTTCCTCTGTGGTCCCCCTACAGGTTGGAAGTGGAATTGTCCGTTACCGCTGTTGTAAATAATTTAGCCTTCCACAGCCTACTGTCGCACACACCGCTTGCTGTTTATCCAGCACCGGCTTTAGAGTAAACGATGTCCAATTGTAATGGTTACCGCAAAGCAAGTCAAATTTGTAATTTCTTATTTTCTTATTGTCTTATTCGAACTACAGAAACGCGACCCGATCTGGCAAACTTGCATAGTGTGGTTATAGCAGATATTGGACCACAAAGCAAAGGCAGAAGTGCCTTTCGCCCTGATTTGATGAACCACTAAAATTATTTTGGAAACATTATTTTAAGGTAAAAAAAAAATCTTCTTTAGTGTTGCTTTAACATCAACTCACCATTCAAAAGAAAACCAAGTTTTTTATTGGTTTGGAAAGCCAATAAAGTTTAACAAATACTTGGACCGGGCATTGGGAAATGTATCGGATTCGGAGTAAAAATTAAACTTTGTCTTTAATATTGCAGTGGGGTAAGAGTGAAAGTAGATGCAAATAAAACATACTCAAGTAAAGTACAGATCCCCCCAAAAAATACTTAAGTAAAGTAACAAAGTGTTTTTACTTTGTTACCACCACCGTCACTCAGATCATTAGGATCACATCAGCTAGAAATACCAAGGGTTCTCTTTACGCACGGAGACTCTGCTTTAGCTATTGTGCTGGACCAGCTTCCAGAGGTGATCAGATGTGCTCCTACAGTCACATCTAATCCAGACTCAAAACACTTCAGTTTAGAAGTGCTTTTACTGAGCTGCTGTTCGACTGACTGTATTTCTTTATTCTAAACTGTTTTAATTATTCTTATTTCTTTTGATTATTTTAATTTCTTCTATGTAATGCACTTTGAATTTCTTTTGTGTATGAAATGTGAAATATTAATAAACTTGTCTTGCCTAAAAATAAAATCTAGCATGATGATAAATGTGTTTTTGTGCTTAGAACTAATCAGCAAAATAACATGAATTTCCAGCATCATAATTAATCTGTGTTTTAGATCAACAGGCATCTATGATGCTTATTTTTCTCAGAATTGTGAGATATAAACTTAAAATTGCAAAAAAAAGTAAAAAATTGTGAGAAAATATGATTGCGTTCAAGTGTTTTTGTTGTCGTAATGTGGTAAAAAGATGGAGATCCAGACCTGTTATTTACCTAAATTATTTAGTTTGCTAAAGTCATCTCCCACAGCAAGAAGATGATTTATCAAAGCTCAAACGGTAAATAAAATGCTGTATAGTTTCTAGATCATGAATAGTACATATTTTTACCATTCACGACTCTCGCGTTGCTTTCTGCCATTTTGAAAAGGTCAAAGGTTACCTCATCTCAGCAACTCTTGCATCTAAATATTCTACGAGCTGCCCAGTGGAAAATCCCACATGAGGGGGTGTTCGGGTGCACTTTCCTCGTCGGCTTTTGGCATTTACCATAATTTCCATTGCACATGAACGCACCAGTAAACTCGTAGTATAGAAGAACGTATTTCGTCTTTTTATCTCACAATTCTGACTTTTGTTCTCGCAATTGTGGGTTTATCACAATTCTGTCTTTATTTCTCACAATTAGGACTTTATTTCTCATAATTACGAGTTAGCAGTTCGTCATTTGGTCGATTCAACGAACGAAATGACTCAAATCCAGCTATTTTCTCTGTTTTTAGGGGACTCCTCATGGTTGGTCAGTGCCTTTAGTGCCTATGCTGTTCTCTGTGCCTCTTTGGGCCATAATCATCTCACAGATGTGCTCCAACTGGTCTTATTACACTCTCCTCACTTCACTTCCCATCTACATGGACACTGTGCTCCACTTTGATTTGCAACAGGTGAGGCAATCGGTGTAATTCGATTGAACCAGTCTGGTTTCTATACTGCGTCTCACTGTATCTTGTCATCATTCAGAACTCGTTCCTCTCTGCTCTGCCGTATCTGTTTGGCTGGCTGTTCTCAGTGGGCTCGGGTGTGCTGGCAGATGAGCTGCTGGAGAGAGAGCTCCTGAGTGTCACCGCCATACGCAAGATATTCACTTTCATTGGTACGTGATTTGAATGGAAGCCATGGAATAAAACTAAATTACGGAGCCGACGTGCAGACAAGAAATGTACATCGTGGCCACGAATTAAGAATTCGTTGTCTCGTTTTAGTGAATATAGTAAAAATATTAAGAAAAACATGCTGATGTATTAGTAAGTCGTGGGAAAGAATCGTTAAATTGTGGCCATGATATACTTTTCAATGATGTCGTGTGGGGCTCCATACAAAAAAAAAACTTCTTACCTCACAATTCTGACTTTATTTCTTGCAATTCCAAGTTTGTAACTCGCAATTCTGACTCTTTTTCCTCAAGATTGTGATATAAACTCTAAACTAGGAGTAAAAAAATCAGAATTGTGAGGTAATTTTGACTTTTTTGTCACAATTCAGATTTTTTCTCAATTCTGTGGAGAAAAAAATTCGAATTTTTTCTCAGTTTTTACTATATCTCAGAATTGTCTCACAATTTTGACTTTTCTTGTAATTTTAGGTTTATATCTCACACAAAAATCTCAGTTTCTATTTATTTTTCTCAGTTCTGATGTTATTTTTCAGAATTGTGAGATATAAACTTAAAATTGCAAAAACAAATGTTGATTTTTTTTATTTTTATCTCACAATTCTGACTTTTGTTCTCGCAATTGCGAGTTTATCACATATAAAACTCGCATAATTTTTACTTTTCTCTTGCAATTTTAGGTTTGTTTATATCTCACAATTCTGAGGAAAAATATTCTCAGTTTCTATTTATTTTTTCTCAGTTCTGATGTTATTTATCAGAATTGTGAGATATAAACATAAAGAACATATTTGTCTTTTTATCTCACAGTTCTGACTTTTGATCTTGCAATTGTGAGTTAATCACAATTCTGTCTTTATTTCTCTCAATTATGACTTTATTCCTCAGAATTGCGATTTTGATCTATTACAAGTTTATATCTCACAATTCTGTTGCAATTGCATGTTTATATCTCTTAATTTCTCAGAATTGTGAGACCAACTCAGAATTATGAGGAAAAAGTTTGAAAAATTGTGAGATAAATAGATAAATATTCTGTGTTTGGACATTTTTTCTTTTGTCACAAATTTTAATGAATATTTATGGTAACCAAGTGTAAGAGGGGACAGATACATATACGTTGTAGTGCAACTTCTAGGCAATTCTATTGATATGTTTGTCTTGTATCCCATAGGTCTGTTTCTTCCCGCTGTTTTCCTGCTGGCGGTGGGCTTCTCGGGCTGTAGTGCTGTGATGGCCGTGACGTTTCTGACTGTGTCCAGTGCGTTTGGGGGTTTCAGTGCTGCTGGCGTCTTCCTTAACCAGATTGATATTGCTCCACGGTACAAAAACTAAACCACTATGGGGTTTTTTAACCACTATTTGTAGGCTATGAGTTCCTTCTGGAATTTCCAATTGGTTTTTGAAGAATTTCTAAATTTTAAAATCAAGTCTGTGGTTAATGAATGAAGTCTATGAATTAAAGGAGTAGTTCACTTTTAAAAAAACTTTTGCTGATAATTTACTCACCCCCATGTCATCCAAGATATCCATGTCTTTCTTTCTTCACTCGAAAAGAAATTAAGGTTTTTGATGAAAACATTCCAGGATTTTTCTCCATATAATGGACTTCAATGGGAACCAAACGGTTCAAGGTCCAAAAGACAGTTTCAGCGCAGCTTCAAAGGGCTTTAAACGATTCCAGACGATGCATAAGGGTCTTATCAAGAGAAACGATCGCTCATTTAACAAAACAAAAAACAAAAAAAGTTTTATAAGCTCAAATGCTCACCTTGCTCTGTTCTGTGATGCGCCATCGTGACTCTCCTGTTCGAACTCGTTTATCAAAATGAATAAATCTTTTTTTTCGTGTTATTTGGTTCATTCAACAAACAAAATGAATGAGTTGACTCAGGAAAAGATTTGTTCATTTTGATGAACAGGTTTGAACAGGAGAATCACAAACGCGCATCACAGAACAGAACTTGTGTCGCTTGATAAGACCATTAGTCATCATCTGAAATCATTTTAAAGCCCTTTGAACAGTTTGCACTGAAACTGTCTTTTGGACTTTGAACCATTTGGTTCCCATTGAAGTCCATTATATGGAGAAAAATCCTGGAATGTTTTCATCAAAAACCTTAATTTCATTTCGACTGAAGAAAGAAAGACATGGATATCTTGGATGGCATGGGGGTGAGTAAATTATCAGCAAAAGTTTTTGTTTTTTTTAAAAGTGAACTACTCCTTTAAGTACATCTTCCACTTTTTTGCACCAGTTATATATCCATATTTTCTCAGGTACGCGGGAATGCTTCTAGGAATCACAAACACTTTTGGGACCATCCCTGGTGTTCTTGCACCAATAGTAGTGGGTTACTTGACCAAAGATGTAAGCTGTCCTTGTATACATTATATATCTACAGTTTGAAGTCATTTTGGTATGTTTTTTTAACATATTCTCCCTTTCTTTGCTCCGACCAGCACTCAGTTACAGGATGGAGGCATGTGTTCTGGTTGTCTGCTGGAGTGAGCGCCTTCGGAGCCATCTTTTACGTCATCTTTGGCACTGGAAAGATTCAGAGCTGGGCAAGGACAGATGAGGAATCAGACACAGATACACACAATTAAACATTCCAGTTGACCAATTCACAGGGATATTACAGATATGTTCAGAGGGATATGTTATCAGTCAAAAGTTTGGACACACTTTGCTTTGTTTTTCATGCTCTTAAAAAAAAACACACATTGTTACACACTTTATTTTACAGTGTCATTATGTATATATATATATATATATATATATATATATATATATATTCTTTTAAATGAACCAGATAGTATTTTTTAGGCCACTACATAATTTCCATACTTTAAAAAAACTTTTAAAAAAAATGTCTGTCCAAACTTTTGACTCTGATATTAATTATTTTTCACTCAGGGTTTTTTAAGGGAAAACCGGAAGTGCCTTAACAACAAAAAGTTTCTGTTTATTATTCTGGCAATATTTTACACGTTGAGTTAATCATGATTGAAGGATGGAATTGAATGGAATAATTTCGTTTCATAATTCTATTACTTTTGCTAAGTGTAATATGTGTTACGTTGGTGAAATGTACAAATCTAGAGGTTTCAACCATATTTTATTGCAATTGAAAATACTTATTAATAAGCACTTTAATGCATCAATAATGAAAATACTTGACTCTTTTTGGTACCAGTTCTTTTCAGGCCATTTTAATCTTGTTAATGAAGGAACTACTCTATTCATTGTGACAGTTTAGCTCTGGTTGCTATCTAACATTTTCATGAAAACCATGGTCTTTCCGTTTTACTTACAGATAGTGTTCATATTTACTGGAATAATCCAGACGGAAATTATTGTTTCATTATTGTTTGAAACTTGCCTTTTCAAAGGTTTACAAAGTTACAAAGTCATATTAAGTTTAATTTAATGTTTATTTTAAGCACTTAATTTGTCTCTGTTTGAGTCACAATGCCAACGACATGAATATCTCATTGTTTAGTATTTTAGTTTAATTTTTTAAATTATAAATATTTCTGTACAATAAATGCAATGCGATGTTTACAGTGCAGATTTAGGGTCATGATTTAGAGATCACTAATCAAATATGTGCATTCCTATGTGCGATAACCCCACATAATTTTAATTGCTACACTGATATATGATAAAAGATATATGATAGATGAACCAATAGACCCAACCACATTCTAATTAAAGGGCTAGTTCACCCAAAATGATGTCATCATTTTCTCACTCTATTTTGTTGCACACAAAAGTCTCTCTTGTTACCAAAATTCTTCAAAATATAATATTTTTTGTTCGACAGAAGAAATAAACTAATACAGGGTTGGAACAAACTGAACTATCCCCTTTAACTGACGCTGTGCAGTGACTGCCAGCAGGTGGCGCATCCCATCGCTGATAAATGGCTAGATCATAAGAATGTCGCAAATTTTACAGCAGATAGAACTGAGTGTTTAAATGCTATATGTATTCAAAATGTGTAAGCCTATAACTAAAACGGTTGATGAGTAACAATACCAGAAATATGCACAGTGACACTGCCTCCGGTGTTTACATTTACGGTTACATCAGCACAGTTGAGTAAACGACCCGGATGTGCTTTGCTGAATGCGGCAAGATCTCACGTGATTGCTTATTTACATCAGTCGTGACCCTGATGTAAGCGTGAAGAATGTAATGTAGCCTGACTGGATAGTTTCATTGATATAGGGCGAATTTTGATGTGATGTATGCATTTTATCAACAAGAGAGCGGGATATCCTTACTATTTTAGGCTAGTCTTTTTTTAATGTACCCTATGTAAAAGCACGTATATTCCTTATTTCCAAAATTTGTGTTTAAATAAATGATTTGGTGGACAAAACTAAACCTGGGAGAGTCGTAAAATAACATTTCTTGTGTTACAGTTTTACTAGCTGTTCAAGGGAGCAAAGTATTTGAACTATGAACTTGAACTTTCCATAAATACCCTGTCATGTTGTTAATTATATTACTGTAGATGAGTCATATTTTAGGCTTATATAGCCTTAATATGAACACGTTTTTTATTTTGGTTTTTAGCAGTTGTGAAGTGATTTCCTTTCATTCATAGACATTTGCATTCTCACCAAATGTGTGAGACAGATGCATGGGGTTCTCACACATGCAGATGTGTGTTCTTTGACCCCCAGCCATTTGCATTACACCTTAAAAATGCATGGGAGAAAATGCATTGCAAATCAAGTGTAAGTTTGTTCCCTTGAGGGGGAGGTGGAGGATTTCAACTTTTAAGTTAAAGGTTTTTTTCTTTGTTACAAGATTGGCCTAATATTTATGACTATATATTGGACATTTTGAAGGCTTTATTTAAAGGAATAGAAATGATTTATCCATGCACATGATTATTTTCATATGCCTCATAATTTTTAATCAAAATAACTTCCTCTCCCTCTTGCAGCAACATTTCTTCTCTTGCAGCAACATTTCTTCTCTGATCGACCAATAGCAGCCCATAACCATTCGATCAATTCTTCACATACAAAATCAAGTCACGCCCCCCTACATTTGTAAAGCTTTTCTTTCTTTTTTATTCAAGAAACAGATGATGCAAATATACAAACACCTTCAGGGGTACAAAAAGTAATTAAAAAAAACAAAACATTTGAATGTAAAGACATATGTATTAAGGATCATTTACATACATTTATGTGTATGTACATAGGCCTACATATAAATTAAAGACATAAAGAAAAAAATAAAAGGTTACGTACCATATTTTTGTAGGGAAACAATATTAACTGGATAGATAATTAGAAAAAAAACAATGTATCAGAGAAAACTAAAAACAAAGCAATAGTTCAAATTATTTCAGGATTCTATCATATTTTTTTTCATTGCTATGTTTAAACTAAAAGACTTGAGCAGTGACCTTTATCTCAAACAAAAAATGAGGTGAGCCCATAAATGTCTATGGATAAAAAATTTGCCAAACAAAATAAAAAAGTTTTGTTTGTGTTCCAGAAGCTTTTTTATTTAGATGTATGTCACCAATAGGGAAACTTCCATTTCATGTAGACTTTAAACAAGATGTGTGTATTGCAAAAAATGACAATTTACATTACATTTGCATTTATTCATTTAGCAGAAACTTTGATCTAATCCAATTTATGAGGCAAAACTCACACGCATTGCTGCAATACTTAAAAAGTAAGACATAATACAAAGCTACGTTGCACTGAGCTTTGAGGGAGAAAGAGAGAGAGTGAAGTTCAGGCCTTTCCCTCTGTATTGCATGACTCAACACTGATCTCATGCCAGACTCTGACGTTGATTCGTGGCACACATTCCCTGCCCTCCCACACTTGTGGAGTGCCTCAGCTAGAAACCAAATGGCAATATATCTGGATAAATATCTATTAAGCCTGTTAGCATTGTGCTGCTACATGAACCAGCCAAACCGGTCCGACCCGACCAAGAGTCGTCCCTATAAACAAAGACAAATGTTCAGTGGTTTGAAGCGGTTTGATATATGCTGAGCTGTGTTTGTATGTTGGGACTCCAGACAGCTGTGCTGAGTGAATAGTGATCATCCTTGAGCTATGTGTGAGGAAAAGTACGAATCGCCGCAATTCACTTTGTGAATGTGAATGTCAATCTTTTTTTTTTTTTTCTCAATTGCTGTGGAATCTCTTTTTTATTTCAGTCATATGCTTGCACAATTCTGTTACCTTCATTTTCTAGGATTTCTGTTAAAGAAGACCACAATCATGATTAATAACGAGATTTTTTAAAGGATTTGTCTGATTATTTACTTGCCCTTGTAGGTTCGGGTTGACTTAATCAGAGTTGTTTCAAATTTAGATTAGCTGTTTCACAAGCATCAAGCTGACAGGTAAACTCATTTATTTTTTTGATTAAAATAAAGTTTCTTACCGGTATTTCAAAATGATGTAACACCATCTGCAAAGCATGCAGTATTGAAACAATATTGCAATGTGGAAGTAAAAAAAATGTTGATTATATATATAAATTATATACTAGATTATATAAATATATTTAGCTCATTAATGCAATATTTCATGGTATGAAGACATTAGACATTATTTATTTATTTAATGCAGTGTGTAGTTGTTTTATCAACTGATGTCTTTTGTGGATATAAATAATACAATTCCAATGTCTTCCTGAACCCACTAAACTTAATTTTCACTCAATTAATTGCAAATTTAGAAAACTGGTTTATTGTCTCATTATTATTAATGCACATAATTCAGCTTTTTATTTCTATGTATTATCTTTTGACAATGCAAAGCATTGCTTGCAAGGACACTGTATGAAGACTGTTAATACAATTATGACTGATTATATTTTACTCGAATAGACAGTCGATCCTTGTCATTTGTGTGATGTGGGGCGCAAACGCATGCAACAGTGAAATATTGGTCTATTATGTTAGTTCTTATGAATAGTATTACAAGTTATATTATAAAAGTGTCCCCCTTTTTCTTTTATGACAGCACTTTGAGCTGCAAGTTTGTGTAAAACATGTTTTATCATGTTCTCCAGCATTTTTTTTTTTTACAATTATTATATTATTAGCAGTTTTAAATGAAAAAAATCCAGTGATTTCTTTGACTTTAGACTCTGATTGTCCTAGTATATATGGCCAGACTGTGCGCCTGATCTTGACTGAAAACAGCAGCTGCCGACCACCACGCATCTGTTACCTAGTCCTAGGGAGAGTTAACTGGAGACGCCAGCTCTTTGAAATAAAGCTATGAGGAATGCAAGACATTGAGGATGGCGTTAAAGGCTTGTATAGCGTTGAAGGCAATGGAAGATTCTCTACACTCTAAAAACAATGAACTCTGAATGCATTAAATGCATGCAAACTAAGGGAAATTACGAAAGTCTCATTGCCTCCCATGGGCTTATGTTTTAAAATAGGCTCGTCAAAATCTCACCATTCTGCAAATAGTCCTATCTGATGGCATTTGAATCTGAATAGACCAACCAGCGGGTGGAGATGCATCTGAGACAATAGACCTGAGTGGCCTTATCGACTCTGTGCTATTGCTGACTCATTTACATACAGGACTGGACTGATCACTGTGTCTCTCTTGGTTTCATCAACTAAAATACAATTATAATTCCTGTCCATTCACTGAAGCTGATGCAATGATTTTTTTTTACTTTGAGAATAAGCACAAAGAGGAAAAAGAAATAAACTGCTGTGTATATAATGCACTGTAGCAACTTTAACCAAACCCAAATAATTAAATGTGAATTTTTAAGAAGTATGTGTGATGAAATTATTCAGCTTAATCACTGATATAATGCAGTTTTAGTTTTATAGTGATGATTGCTGTCAATCATCATAAAGACATCAAAAAATGTAACTTGAGTGATTTAAAATGGAAAGACTAAAGATGCAAATGTGTATTTAAAAATATATTTATGTGTAATAAATATTTATTGCCTATTTGTATTGGTATCTCAAAAAATGTATATAATAAGTAACAATATATGTTCCCATTATGTACAGTAGCATTCAAAATTAGTAAATGTTTCTGAAAGAAGTCTATTGTGCTCTCCAAGGCTGTATTTATCTGATCAAAAATACAGTAAAAACAGTAATATTGTAAAATATTATTACATTTTACGTTTTACTGATAGCCTTTATTTTTATGATGGTAAAGCTGAATTTATAGCATCATTACTCCAGTCTTCAGTGTCACATGATCCTTCAGAAATCCCTCTAATGTGATGATTTGCTCAAGAAACATTCATTTTTTATTATCAATATTGAAAACAGCTGTGCTGCTTAATATTTTTCTTTTTAGGAAACCGTGATACACTACCATTCAAAGTAATATAGGCCTATAGAAAGGACACATTCAGTTGAGAGTGAAGACATTTATATTGTTACAATAGATTTCAATTTCAAATAGGGCCTACTGTTTTGTTTTTTTAACCTTTCTATTAAATGAATCCAGACAAAATGTATCACGATTTCCACAAACATATTAAGCATGCAAAAATGGTTTAAAAATGAGAACCATTATTAATAACTGCAGCACAAAATCAGCATTTAACTATGATTTCTAAGGGTCACATGACACTGAAGACTGGAGTGATGATGATGCTTTGATCACTGGAATAAATTACACTTTAAAATATATTATAATAGTCATTTTAAATTGTCACAATATTTCACAGTATTATTTTATAATCAAATAAATGCAGCCATGGTGAAATTAAGAGGCTACTTTCAAAAACAAAAAAAAACTTTGACTTTACATATTTATACTGTATATCGCAACATATATTTGTAACAAAAAAACAAAACAAAAAAAATTCAAACAGTGAAGCCGATGTTCAGACAGAGCATAGGGTTCAGAGAAACAGAGTCGTGACGTATGGATGACGAGCCGGGAGATTTTCACGCAAATGTGTGTGATTTGTGGGGCGATTAGGGAGGGAGAGGAAGCGGGGGGTTGTTCCTCCTCCCGCGTATAAATTCGCCAACCAAAGCATATTTCTTCCTCTTTCTGTTACCTGGCAAAGGGGAGCAGCAGCCGAGGAGTTATCTCTCAATCCTGGTGAGTGCTTTTTCTGCTGCCTAGGCCTTTGGTTTTTAGTCAGTTTTTGACTTGCTATAAACTTTGGGACAATTATTTTTTCTTTATAAGGTTCGCGGTTTGTTTTAAAATTTGTTACTTAGCGTGTTTTATCACTGGCGGTTTATATAATGGTTTCGCTCTAATTTTGTTTTTTAAACGTTGTATTTGTTTAATTTGTATGTTTAGAGGAGTTAATTTTAATTATTTTTTCCGTGTACGTTTATCGTTCAAAGAATGGGAACCGGTGAGAGAACAAAGGCAGTAACGTGAACGTTAACCGACTGAAGTCACAGGCCCGCTAAAAGCCTTCCACACATTCTCGCATCCAACAGCTGTTACTAGAGACAGATGTCTGACTCCTTTGGATGCCTCTCAAACATTTAAGATATTTATTGTAACTTAATACCCCACTACCCTAAAGAAACACGTGTCGCAGTCGCCTTATGTGAAGTAGGCCGGTTGAAAGATTGGGCATCTCTAGTTGCGAGATCCCCAATCAAAGGTTTATATGAAAAATGTGCTTGTCTTTTGTCTTAAGCTTTCCCATTTTCCTTCCTTGTACAGAAACTAATCAATCATGGGAAAGGAAAAGATCCACATTAACATCGTGGTCATTGGCCACGTCGACTCCGGAAAGTCCACCACCACCGGCCATCTGATCTACAAATGCGGTGGAATCGACAAGAGAACCATTGAGAAGTTTGAGAAGGAAGCTGCCGAGGTGAGTGTTTGGACGCTTTAACGTTTTTTTATTCGTAAATGGATTGCGGCGTAAGTTGAGGTAACAAGAGCCAAAATGGCGGCGGTAGCACGCGTTCCTGGGCTCAAGCCGGCTGGGTGTGGGAAGGGGCGGAGCCTCAACGGGACTCGCTATGACGTTGCAGTTTCTGTAATGGCGCCTAGTAGGCCGAGTGACATGTGCACTAGTTCCTTTCAACGTTTCAAGCAGTTTCACTACTCAAATCAATTGTTTAATAAATTCTTTGTTAACTTTTAAATCAAAATGGAACTTAAAATTTATTTCTGTGAAGTTAGTTTAGTTTGCCCTAATCTCTAAACAACTCTTTTCCCCTCCCTTTTGCAAAGACTTTACTGATGTGAGGAGCAGGACAACTTGTTAGTCACATAAGATCAGCAATAGCAAACTTAAGTTGTACCCTTTTATCCTGTCTTATTGGAACATTGTACTATTTCTATTGTTTCTTGTTAAATAAAGCGTGTTTATTAACAATTCTCTTTGTCAAACAGATGGGCAAGGGCTCCTTCAAATATGCCTGGGTGCTGGACAAACTGAAGGCCGAGCGTGAGCGTGGTATTACCATTGATATTGCTCTCTGGAAGTTCGAGACCAGCAAGTACTACGTCACCATCATTGATGCCCCTGGACACAGAGACTTCATCAAGAACATGATCACTGGTACTTCTCAGGTAGGCCTACACTCTATTCATGCATAACTGTGCTCTTTGGGATGATCTTAAAGTAGGGTGTGGTTAACCGTTCTTGTGTTCCCACCCAGGCTGACTGTGCTGTGCTGATTGTTGCTGGTGGTGTTGGTGAGTTTGAGGCTGGTATCTCCAAGAACGGACAGACCCGTGAACATGCCCTCCTGGCTTTCACTCTGGGAGTGAAACAGCTTATTGTTGGAGTCAACAAGATGGACTCCACCGAGCCCCCCTACAGCCAGGCCCGTTTTGAGGAAATCACCAAGGAAGTCAGCGCCTACATCAAGAAGATCGGCTACAACCCCGCCAGTGTTGCTTTTGTCCCAATCTCTGGATGGCATGGAGACAACATGCTGGAGGCCAGCTCAAACGTAATTAACTTTGCTGATCTGCATTAAAGTTGAGCAATTTTGCAATATTTTCGAGTTTTAATTGGCATTGTTTATCTTCCTTTTTAGATGGGCTGGTTCAAGGGATGGAAGGTTGAGCGTAAGGAGGGAAATGCTAGTGGTGTTACTCTTCTTGATGCCCTGGATGCCATCTTGCCCCCAAGCCGTCCCACCGACAAGCCCCTCCGTCTGCCACTTCAGGATGTCTACAAAATTGGAGGTTTGTATTAATACTCCAGATTGTTTAAGTTCTAAGTTCAAAATGCTTGGATTGTCTTTAATGTAACTTTATTCTCAAGGTATTGGAACTGTGCCCGTGGGTCGTGTGGAGACCGGTATCCTCAAGCCTGGCATGGTTGTGACCTTTGCCCCTGCCAACGTGACCACTGAGGTTAAATCTGTCGAGATGCACCACGAGTCCCTTTCTGAGGCCTCTCCTGGTGACAACGTTGGCTTCAACGTCAAGAACGTGTCCGTCAAGGACATCCGTCGTGGAAACGTGGCTGGAGACAGCAAGAACGACCCACCAATGGAGGCTGGCAGCTTCTTGGCTCAGGTTAGGCCTTTTCCATTATTATGGTTTTTTATAATAGTCAGTTTTGATGTAAACTCCTGTATTAACTCGTGTTGTCTCGCAGGTCATCATCCTGAACCACCCTGGTCAGATCTCTCAGGGCTACGCCCCAGTGCTGGACTGCCACACTGCTCACATCGCCTGCAAGTTTGCTGAGCTCAAGGAGAAAATCGACCGTCGTTCTGGCAAGAAGCTTGAGGACAACCCCAAGGCTCTTAAATCTGGAGATGCTGCCATTGTTGACATGATCCCTGGCAAGCCCATGTGTGTGGAGAGCTTCTCTACCTACCCCCCTCTTGGTAAGTTCTCTTACTAATTGACCTTCTCTCATCTATGTCTTCAGTATCCACTTGTGTGGAACATGATGCTAATCTCTCTCCATCCATAGGTCGCTTTGCTGTGCGTGACATGAGGCAGACCGTTGCTGTTGGTGTCATCAAGAGCGTTGAGAAGAAAGCTGCTGGCTCTGGCAAGGTCACAAAGTCTGCACAGAAGGCTGCCAAGACCAAGTGAATTCCCCTCGATCAGGCTGTTCCAAAGGTTGTGGTATGTTCTGCCCAACCTCCTGGAATATCTCTAAACCTGGGCACTCTACTTAAGGACTGGCTAATGCTGATTAAAACTCATCGGAAAAATTTTCGCAGGAAAGGAAAACAACTTGGATTAAGTGTGGCTTTATTGATTGACTGATAGTGCCTCTTTCAGTTATTAAATTTGTTTTGAAATGGTTTAGAACTGCACCTGTTGCCACAGTAAAATTTGGAAAGAAGCTGCTGAATAAACTAATAAAGGTATTAAAAATCGAAATTGTGCGTTGTCTCCTGTGGTGACTTGGGAAATGGGTGGGATGAGCAACTGAAGTGGTTTGTCAGGGTCATTGCAGCTGTTTTAACACGTGTTGCAGGCCTTTTTTTACCTTCCTTGTGCCTACTTAAGTGATGTGTCCTCCGCCAATGGCTAGTAGTCAGTGCACAGTAAAGCTACCAATGGTACCCCTCTCCTAGGCAGTATCTATGTGGTTTAAGAGTTTTCATATCCCACCCCTGTCTGAACCGGTATAAATTTAGACAGCCATTGAGACTCGCTCCTTTTTCTCCAGCCTGCACGGGGCGTCATTCGTTCTTGTCGGGTAAGTTTATTACTGTCTTATTTACTCAATCCTTGTGATATGTCTAGCTTGACCTTAGCATAAGTAAAAATATCCTTTTAAAATCAAATTTTCTTCAGGTTAAATGTTCAGATCAGGTATTTTTCTCTTTGTTGGGTTTGGCAAGATTACATCAGGTTCCTTTTTTTATTTTTGCACTGCTGCCCCCTTTTCACTAACTTGTTGCACATGTAGAGAGAATAGATTTGTTGGCTAAGCTGGAGAGAACATGGCTGGTGCTGTCATTCCAGTCCTTCAACATGGAGGACAAGTGAACAGAGGGAGGGGAGGGTTGCCAAGTCTCAAAAGAAGCTTGAACTGAAAAATGCCTAATATAAGGGTTTCTTCACGAAAGTATGGGCTTTTTAATTAAATTCCGACGTGATCTAAATAATATCAAGCTGTAGGTGTAATTTAACGCTTAATCTCAAATTTTGTATGCTATGCGGTTTACCGTCACTGCCACAGCAGCTGTGTTAGAAACACCCTCACAGCAGCGTTAACTTTTTGTGTGTGTGCAATATGCAGAGGTAATATAATACGATGTGAAGTGTTAAATGTACTTTAAAAAATATTAAGCCTTTAAGTTTGCACTATTTTTGAAGCTGATAACATTTAATACGTGTTATCGCAGTCTGGAAATAGGTCCATTTTAATGGACTTGGCAACAATGCTGCGCGTTCACGCAGACATAGCCCTGACTGTTCATACACTGTCGTTGTGATTTTAGTTTATTTTTCCTGCCATAGATATTCCAATTCCTTGAACACTAATTATGTGTGTTAAACATCGTGTCAATGTTTATGCCGTCGAAACTAATCCAGCAATGTCTTTCCACAGTACATTTACAATATGGGTAAGGAAAAGATTCATATTAACATCGTGGTTATCGGCCACGTCGATTCTGGCAAGTCCACCACCACCGGACATCTCATATACAAATGTGGAGGTATCGATAAGAGAACCATCGAGAAGTTTGAGAAGGAAGCTGCTGAGGTACGTCATCAGCCGAGTGACTGACTTCCGATGACTAATATATCCATATGACAAGAATATTCTGGGCGTGTCTTTTTTTAACACTGTGTTGTGAGCGACATCTAGAGTTTGGTTTTATTAGTATTTATTGATCAGTTCTGAATATCTAAACTGAGCATAAATAGTAGAATTCCTCTTAGAATATTCTGTATTCATGAAATGTTGAGAATTATGATAATTACAGTGGTTCAGTTAATACATAATTTGTAGATGTCATGTTTGAAAATCAATCTATCTATCTATCTATCTATCTATCTATCTATCTATCTATCTATCTATCTATCTATCTATCTATCTATCTATCTATCTATCTATCTATCTATCTAATATAGTATCTATTTATCCATCCATCAATCATGTTTGAAAAGATGTTAAACTAATCTATCTATCTATCTATCTATCTATCTATCTATCTATCTATCTATCTATCTATCTATCTATCTATCTATCTATCTATCTATCTATCTATCTATCTATCTATCTATCTATCTATCTATCTATCTATCTATCTATCTATCTATCTATCTATCTATCTATCTATCTAGCTATCTATCTAGCTATCTATCTAATCTGTTTGTCTGTCTGTCTGTCATTATTTTGTCCATTCAGTCTCTCAAACATCTTATATTCTTCTGAATATTTTTTTCCATCAAGATGGGCAAGGGCTCCTTCAAATATGCCTGGGTGCTGGACAAACTGAAGGCCGAGCGTGAGCGTGGTATCACAATTGATATTTCTCTCTGGAAGTTCGAGACCAGCAAGTACTATGTCACCATCATTGATGCCCCTGGACACAGAGACTTCATCAAGAACATGATCACTGGTACTTCTCAGGTAAGCTTTTTGTTTTTCAACATATCAATTACCGTTTACCGTGTATATTGCATTATATTTTTTTTAAATGTCATGATTTTTATTTGTCTCTTCCTCCACCTAGGCTGACTGTGCCGTGCTGATTGTTGCTGCTGGTGTTGGTGAGTTTGAGGCTGGTATCTCCAAGAACGGACAGACCCGTGAACATGCCCTGCTTGCCTACACTCTGGGAGTGAAACAGCTTATTGTTGGAATCAACAAGATGGACTCCACCGAGCCCCCCTACAGCCAGAAGCGTTATGAGGAAATCACCAAGGAAGTCAGCGCCTACATCAAGAAGATCGGCTACAACCCCGCCACCGTCGCCTTCGTTCCGATCTCTGGATGGCATGGAGACAACATGCTGGAGGCCAGCTCAAACGTGAGCGTCTGCCTTTTTCCTGGGTCGGAAGAAGTTACATAGGTGCATCTAAAGGGTTTGTGATTATTGCGATTGTTCATGCTTTGTCTTTTGCATTTTCTTAATGGATAATAGATGAGCTGGTTCAAGGGCTGGAAGATTGAGAGGAAGGAAGGTGCTGCCAATGGTGTAACTCTTCTCGAGGCCCTGGACTCCATTCTGCCACCCAGTCGACCCACCGACAAGCCTCTTCGCTTGCCTCTGCAGGACGTGTACAAGATTGGAGGTAACATTTGCCACCAACCAGGGTTATTATATTTTAGATTTTGTATTTTCAGTTTAGTCGGTTTAGCCTGTTCACTATAATTTGTATTTTTCATTATAGTTCATTTGTTCATTTAGTTGTTTTATTAGTTTGAGTATTTTGGGCCAGCCATAATTAATGTGCTAATTGTTATCATTTACAAATGCTTTTCATTTTCTCAGTGCAGTCCTCATCCAGGGGGCCTAAAATCAAATAAAAATATAAATATTTTAATTCACCCCCTCAACAAGTGTTTTTTTCTTTGACAAAAAACAGGTTTGCCTGTAATTATGAGGTCTAATATTAAAAGTATGATTTGTAGACTTGGAAAAGTCATAAGTATTGTTAGAGGTGGGCACAAATACATCAAAAACTATTTTGTTACAAAATACAAATACTGGCTCATGAAATGTATTTAAATAAAATACAAAATACTGATGTGAAAAATGTATTTAAATAAAATACAAGTAATTCGTATTTTGAAAATACAAAAATACTCCCACAATAATCTTATAAATAATAATAAAAATCACAATAGTCTTTTTCTGTTACTCTAAGGTCAATAACAAAAATAGTAGCAATAACACAAATATTATAAATGATTAAATTCAAAATGGCAAAGTAGCAAAATAAAAAAAATTGGGCATTTCACTAAATCCCTACAGGGCCTGAAATAGCACCCTATGACATAACCGGCATGTATAGCCAAGTTCACATCAATGGTGTGGTAGTTTTATACAAAATTGATATTTCTCATATGTAATACATTTATATTGTGTGAACGCTTGCTTATCATGGAGATTTCAGTAAATTTGTGACAGACGCGCCGTTTCATAAAAGGTAGGGCCTATGAAAGGTTAGGGTTAGGGACGACTTCGCGTGCAGCCGTGCACGAGCGCAAACCTCACAACACCCACCGCGTCGGTGATTGGTAACTTGGAACACTGTTTATTTAGGTTTTAGTGGTTGGTGAACCCATTGTTTTTGTGTGCAGATCTCAGAGTCTTGGTAGCCTACAGAGACACGGTTTTTCAAAACATTCCCATCCCAAGGCGGCATATACAACGCTTTTGCCAAAACGTAGACATCCAACGCACATGGCACCCTTTAGCGTCAATATAACATGCACAGAGTATGGGTAGGTTTAGGTCTGGGGTAGGGATAGGGTTAGACCACTAGGAGGCGTCATCTGCCTATATATATCTGCGTCTCATATTGACACTAAAGGGTGCCATGTGCATTGGATGTCTACGCTTTGGCAAAACAAAGCTTCATATATAAATTAATGATGCCTTGGGATAAGAACGGGCTGGGTTTTTAGACGGCATGCTTCTGGGAAGGGCAGCTAGCGGATCGCTAACAAAAATGAGATGAATATGATAACTTATGTTTCTGCCTTTTTGGGTCTGAAATCACAGCAAATATAGAATCAGAACTCTCTCTAGATAATACTCTTGACATGATACTCACAAGGCTCAACAAACTAAGGTAACACGCAGGTAAGAAATTCACAATGAACCAACACAGGACAGCAAACACAAGGGATGATATAGGGAGACACACTAATGACAAGAACAGGTGAAGCTGACAATGACAAGACGTGGAAAACAAGGGGACGGGGTACGTAACGAGACAACACAAACACATGGCCCAAAAAAAAGGCCATGTGCATGCACACAAAACATGGGTCTGTCATGATCCTGCCTCAAGACTAGAGAAAATCGAGGGCAGAATCATGACATTACTATGGTGATTTTTCTTAAGTATTTAAGTATTTGAAATACTCAAATACACTCCGTCAAAATATTTTGTTACAAACTACATTTTATTTTTTCCACACCTGCAAAATACAAATGACAAAATACACTAAAGTAATTAAATACGTATTTCAAATACATTTAATTGAAATACTGCCCATGCTATATACATTTGTCAAGTTATGCCAAGGCAAAATATTGTACTTACCTTATATTAGCCAGTACTTTCTAGGTAAGTACACTGTAAGTACTGTACTGTAAAAGGAAGCGTTACCAAATATTTTACAGGGTAAAAAAAAAGAAGTAAATTCAATAAGTGCCATTTTCATGTTTAATACAAACGGAAGTAAA